GGGGGGGGGGGTGCAGGGAAAAACCAAAAAAAAGTAGGGCTGCTCAGTTTGTTTTTACTTATTTTTTTTCTCCCCCCTGAGCGGAACTAGATTTAGAGACTAAGGGCTTCCCAGGCTTATTGGCGGCAAAAAAACAAACATTAGGGCTTCTCAGTTTATTTATCTATTTTTGCTTTTATTTTGGTTTCTGTCCAACCCCTCCCCCTCCTCCATTCCTCGGAGCCCAAACACCGAAATGCTGGATGTAATGAACTACTGCTCTTAATGTTTAATCTCGCTTTGCACACCATACTTAATGACAGGCAAGACAAACATGTGGTCCATGATTAGAGCAGTATAGATACAAGTATTTCAATGCAATAGGCACGGTATCGTGTGGGAGAAGCAGCCCCCCACAGCGTCCCTTTCTGTAGATTTGAAACTATACACGAAAATACACGCCACCAGGGCGTCATGTTCTGTTGTCACTTTCGCCATGTCCCTCACAACCACACTCAATGTAGGCTCCAAGGTAGTCCAGGAAAAATGTGCCTAGAAGTAGCATGTATGAAAGTAGACCAAGGCCAAGCAAGGCTCAGATTGTGGTGTTTATGTGGATGTGCAGCGGGGCTGCAACCACGACTGCTGGTAAGAGCTTCAAACGACAATTTTACCACACATCCGGTGGACTGGAGAACTCAGCTATGTCAGGTTGCTGGAGGATGTGTTGGAGCTTCTGTTGAAGTGGCACGGGACTGTGGCGGGACTGGGACTTTAAGGGTGGAAAGACTCGCGCTCAAAGCTTGGAGTGGTCACTGTACCGATGCCATCGTTTCGGCTTCTGTGGGGTTCGGGAAGGGGATCACATAGATATAAAAAATTACGAAAATAATGCATGTATAAGTATATGTGTGTATAACTCCTTACACACACACACACATATATATATATGAGCAAATACGCCTTCGTATTTCTTTTGTTCTATTTGTCCTTTTGTATTCACATTGGCATTTACTAATGTAAGTGTGCATGCATGTATGTACGTGTGTACCTGACTGGGGCATAGAAGGCGAGTCACTGCCTTCCAGGCCTGTCCGTAGAACGCTACATTTCCTCCGAAACGACGCAACTTGTACGCAAACTCTGTCTCTCTTGCTCTCTGGCTTCACAAGTGTCGCTACCGTACAGTCACTCGCCCACACGCACAAAAGGAATATCCAAATACACAACGTAGTCGTTGTTACTGGCTTCGGAAGCAGCTTGTGTTCCACAACGCACGCCGAGGTTGAAGACTCATGCTTTTGATATCTTTTGATACACGATGCTGGAAATCACAACGCCTGATCACCGAACATTCTAAGCCTGTGCATCTGCGCCCCAGAAGTGTGTGATGTGTGATCCTCGTTGTAAACTCCGTTCCCCTACTCTTCAGATGTACGGTGGATCGTATGATACTGCATGCAGGCTTTGTGACACCGAGGAGTGTCAAAGTAAACTGCCTGTGTTTCAACACGGCCGCGAACTGTAATGCTACACTACAGTGCCTTTCAAGCCTCTAGAGCCCGAGCTCCTCGACCAGTCAAGCTCTGACCCTGAGTTCCAGGCTACTGTAGAGCCGCTTCACCTTGGCGGCTTCTGCGTTCAACTTACTTCGACTCGATCTCGGCGATCCCCAAATCGGAGCTCGAAAGGATCTTGGAGATGTGCTTTTCCTAGCCCCGGCATGGGCTTTGCTAAGAGGGAAGTTACCAGCCCAAGTGGCCACATCTCCGAGACCGGGTCGCAGAACGACGTGCGCCGGGTGGCCTGACTGGCACTCACATCCACAGCCCGGTATTCATGAAGCTTTTTGGGTTCGGGGCTTTGGGAAGTATATGAGCCTTCTGTCCACTATTCGTCTGTGTAACGACCTGACATCTCCCTCAACGTGTGATGGCACAACGCGAACTCCTAACGCCACACCCAAGCAGGTTTCAAGAAAAAGAACTGCCAAAAACCCTGAACTCGTCTGTCGTACGGCCTGTGATGGGTGCTGCGAGGGTGTTCGGTACTGCTCGTAGCCGGACAGGATTTTCCGCCTCCATCATTGGCTCATTGGCTGTTGATACTGGGCTTGATTATGAATTTATGGAATCCCTCGCAACAGTGGCGAAGGAGAATCCAACCTCACACATGCGGCCACGAGCCCTACTGCAGATTCCAAAGTACCATAAACTAAACCAAAAATCCACGCAACTCCGATTACCGTGCCCCCCGCTGCATTCGATTCGCTTCTGCACCTGACTGCGACGCATGGCTATCATTGCTGCAGCAGCAGAAGCCGCAACCACTGCAAGGCCTGCGTGCATTTTGTCTCGGTTTTAGGGGCGCCTCTCGCGACTGGGGAAGTCTCAGAGGCAGGCGAGATCTGGGCTCCCCAGAGCATACGGAAACCCGTCGCGATTCGAAACTTCGCTGAAAGCAAAACCCTCCGAGACCTTTAGCCGACCAGCAGGCTAGCAGGCCAGGCTCTGTGAGTTGTGTCACCAATAATGTGAACTCATTCGGAATGTCTCATGGCAGATCTCTGAGGCCCCCGTGAAAGGAATTCACACCTCCGCTTCGGTGCACAGGCTCAGCAGCGGCTGCAGCTGGAAGCCGCGCTGGAGTCACCCTGAGGACTGGGGGAAACTCGTGGAGCATTCGGGCCGGTTTTGGTATTTTATTGTCGGAGGTGGGCGGCAAGGCTTAGTACGGGGCCTGCGCTACCTGGCTTGATGTTTCCAGTCGATGGTGTCCAGCTACACTGCGTTCGGAGGTCACAGCCATCGGCGTGTTGGTCCACAGCTCTGCAACTGGAAGGCACGGTGTCGCCGACTCACAACGTTGCACTCCTGCTGCGTGCAGCAAAAACGCGACCGCGTTTGACTTCCTTCATCAGCAAATGCAGCATCGTGAATCGTCGCCTCCTGAAATCATCCTCTCGCAAAATGCTGCTGTCTTGTGACTTCAGCATACTTCAGCCATCACATGTCGCAGACCTGACACTCACGTCTGGAACGAAAGCCGTGGTTCTGGCATGTTCTGAATAGATTCGCATGGTTTCCATAGCATTCAAAAAGAGCTGTTCCATCTGCGCTAAGACTAAGACTCCAGCAGGCCTGTAAAGCCCTGAGACTCTGCAGCGCCTCGCACCAGTTACTGCTGCGAAAGCGGGCAAGGCTGCAGTGGCCACCGCAGCCGCAGCCACCAAAGCCTCAGCAGGGTTACGTTCTGCGGCAAAGGAAACAGCCAAACTGATGACAAAGGGTTGCAGTTGCAACTCCAGCATGTGGCGGGCCTTCCAGCTGGCTTTCTTGATTTTCAGGATGCGGCACCATGGGCTTGATTGATCTTAAATGAAGTAGAGTTGCATGTTCAAAACCTGTGAAGCTGCACCGTCAAATGGCGTCCCTGTTCCTGGCGTCCCGGCACAGCTGCCTGGAGAGCGCTGCAGCCTGCAGCCTGCCACCCTGCGATGCTCAATTGGATACCTTTGGGGCTTTTTGAAACTGTAATCCCGCGGGCACGGACATGTCAGTCCTATCGCAACACTCACAGTCCGAAGAATAACTTCCTGAGTAGAATCGGAGCCTTGTGCATGCATCACCGCGGTATGCCCGCGACATCTAATCGGCAAAAACCAGGGAGTCCGATCACAGTCAACGAACTCTTTTGGGCATTACGGGCTCAGGAGTTCAAGGAGGTCATCTTAGCTTCACTTCAGACGTTGAGACAGGATCGAAAGAAGCAGTCCGAATCTTCTGCCCCTGGCCGTTTTGTCGAGCTAAGCAGCTGCAACATGGGCACCAGGCCTTTGTTTGCAGTTGCCTTTTTGCATCGGTGAAGGTTTCCTCATGCTCGGCATGAAATGCCTCCGTGCATTCACATCATGCTTCTGTCTTGGACTTGGGCCAATCATTGCGGAAGGCGCAGAGTTGACTGGGGTCGGAGGCTTGTAGGCTTGGAGGTCGCCGCTGCTAGCCTTGCGTAGAACGATTTCACAAGCTGAACCCTTACCCTAACATCTCGATGTTGCCCACAAGCTACTCGCTTGAATCAAAAGTTGAGGGCTTCAAGGTTGGTTAGCGGCCGTTAACTCTGAATTGGCTGGTAAGGAAACTCAAAACCCATGTAAGAGGCCCGACGACCTTCAGACCGCCGCGGGGTCTGGGGAAGCCCAGAAGGGGATGTGTGCAGCGTAAGGCGGCAGATTCCTCTTTTCTAGCACAATCAGAGCACTACAGTTGCTCTTGGCTGAAAATGGGTCTTGCTCTTCAAAACTCTCATTCAAGAGGCGAGAAGCAGCTCTGTCAAGGATTTCGGGTCGAACCTGCGAGCTGCGAGGGCAGGCCGAACTGTCACCGAGAAAGAGGCCCAACAGCTGACCTCTCAAAATATCTGAACTGTCAAAGGGTCGTATATTCAATCCTCGAGACCCTCTGCGAACTGTAGAAGTGCTAAGTCCGATAGAAAAAGACGAGAGCAGGTCAGCGGAGTGCGTTGGAGTCGTGTGAGTTGTGGGACTTCCCCGCATCTTCGGCCACACCCGAAAGTGCCGTCAACCCCGAAGGCTCTGCATGACTCAGCTGTGCTCTGATCAGTGGGCTCCTGGTTGTACGCACCCAGCCTGGCAGCCCTGGGGTCGACGGCTGGTTCAGGCGGTCGCCGGCTCTGACTCGGCCTCTTTCGCGCCTGGCACGCTGAAGCTTCGTTTGGTCCAGAAGGCTCAAACACATGCGAGGCCACAAAGATCCTCACAGGGCACGATGCTGATGCCAGCATATCTCCCAAAGTAAACTACCACATCCGTCGCTTCGAAACCAATCCGTGGCCCGTTCCTTCGACTTTCACGTGTTGGGTTACACAGCATCATTAAGCTACCAATCAAACGTAAACGAGAAGTCCACTGTTCACGTAACTGGAGCCCTCGACTTTTATGTGCAAAAGACGCGGGGGAGTGGCGTCTCTCTGCTGCGGCCACGGCTTTTCGGACATCGACCCTCATCTTGTCCACCGTGTTCACGTCAATCCTGCGTCTGTAAAGCAGAGGTCTGGCTAAGTAGACAAAAAAATTATCACCGAGGTGCCTAGACTGGCTGGGGCTGAACTCGTAAGTCACTTTAGTATCCTTGCCGTCCTTTTGTTAACCCTAATTTTCGTAATCCATTACATAGGTAACCGGAAAGCCCAAAGCCTGAAGCCCTCTTCCATTCCTTCCTGTCACCAGAGCTCCGCTCCTCTGCTTCTTCAAGCGGTAGGCCACCTTCGCGAAGATCGGGTCGCGCATCAGGCCCTTCAGCTTGGCGCCCTGCAGAGATTTTCTCACTCGGTTCCTTTTCCGCGCAGTGAGATTTCGGGTCCCGGACAGGCAGCCCGGTTCCGCTGCACTTCTGGCAGACCAGCTCACCCACTCCGTTACACTCTGGGCCTCAGAGATTCTCAACCGGTGACACGAGTCCAAAGCCCTCACTCATCGAACTCAAATTTAAAGACTCACACAAAAGCAATGTGCGACGAGATCCGGGCAGGTGAGGTACTGGCGCTGAGAAGTTTCTGCAGGCAGAGGCTTAGCTTGGCTCTCTGGATTCGATATCGATGGAGGTTGTGTTCCACGGGATCCCAGATGCAGGTGTAGGGTGAAAGGCGACTGCCTGCGTTGGTGCTTGAAGGTGCTCGGGCTCTATGTGCAGCTTTGTTCACTGGGGCCATGAAGTTTGTTGAGAGCAGCAGACCAACGATCAAGTGCATGCCCCGCATAAGTGTGCAGATAAAATGAATTCGGTTCAAGGTCTTCCGCAGCATCTCGTGCTGCATCCGGCCTGGACTTGTCTATTCCAAGTTTCGATTATGCGCTACGGGCCACAAGATGAACGTGCAAACCACCGGTTTTCTACCCTGACCTGAGCCGTGATCTGCCAAATTGAAAGCGTCTCTCGCATGTTTCTGAAAGTCAACACCTGCTTTCTGATTCTGGGGAGTCCACTCTCGTACTTCGTCCCCCACCTTGGCTCGAGGAAGCTTCCAGCGAGAGCTGGACGTCCCGGAAGGGTTTGCGGACTCGCACAAGGCAGCGCAACGACTGGACGGTGTGCAACCTTGACCCAGCGAAACAAAACCCGTTGATCAAGCAATATACCTCCACTCGGACTCCCTCTGTACCCGAAGGTAATTTGCGGAGCCTTTGAGCTGAGAGCCCGGCAGGCGGTACTGGCCGGTGCCGTCGCACATCGGACCTCGGGGCGAAGCGAAGTGCGCGGCAAGTCTCGGGATCCCCGAGTTTGGAGGGCGCCAAAAACCATCAAGAGGCCAGGCGCCGCACAGCCGACCAGCCCTTTGCCCTCCTGGAGTATGGAGCCAGAGGCCAGCATGTGTCAAGCAGAAGGCGTTAGAAAAACTCGCGCAGCTTTAGGACTTCAGTGCCAGGAGATCTGTGAGGTGCTCTCTTCTTGACTTGTCTGGATGCAGCAGCTGCAGCGGACAACTGCTTCTGGTTAACTAGGGCTTTGGGTTGCTGCGTTGAAAGCCAGAGCGTTCATATGTTTTCAGGTTTGGGACTGCGACATGCAAATCCTTGAGATCGATCCTCATCTCTCAGGAAAGCTTCCATGCAGCTCAGGCCGGTACGCATTCATGGCAAACTTCATCTGATGTTTCAGCTGAGGCAGCAAGTGGTGTGGCCTCAGGCGCCGGGAATGGATTCGTGCTGTGGACAAGACTTGGGTTCAGGGACTGGAACACGAGCGTCTTAAAAGGACCAAAATTACACTGACGTTCAAAGCGGAGAATCAGGTTCTTTTGCAGGTCAGCAGTATAAGGCTTCCTGAAACTGAATTCACTTTAGCTGCTGTGTGTGTGGAAGACAAGCCTGCCAGGAAGCCATTATAATCGTCATCATAAGCTTTGTCTTTCCCGCCCTTGCGCATCGGTGCTTGAGACTGAAAGTGCACCATAGCCAGTGCTGAAGAGGTACTTAAGGGGTTTAGATTAGATTATGCCTGCGGAGCCGGCCCATCTCGAGCCTGGCAACGTGGTCGCTGTACGGCAGCCAAACCATGATACACGAAAACCCATGCTCGACAAGTTTGGAGGTGACCTTGTGTGTAGGGGCTTCTGGTCGCACGTAGATGCGATGTTTTTTTCTGAATCTGCCGCTTCGCGCCGGTGATTTTTGCGCAGCCGGCTTGGCCGGGAACGGAAAGAATATTCATGTGCACCATTTCATGCATTGCTTCCGCATTGCAGCCTGGAGCAACAGGTACATGTCTAACGCAAAGAGGCTCAATCCTACGAAGTAATACTACAGGTTCACAGGGCGATGCCTGCCCCGATCTTGAAAAGAAAATAAGGACTTGAGTCCAGTGTTGGACACTGGACCGCAGCCTCTATTGCACTTGCAGAGTTTTGCGGATCTCATGCCAACATATATATATATATCTATGGCCGTTTACTTCGTCCAACATCTTGAATCGCACATTCACGGAGGGTCCAGTCTTGTGCCCGGGCAGGAGGGGCAAACAAATCCACAACCGCTGGAGCAGCCTTCCGTAATTGGCTCAAACACCTTATGCCTGAACACGCTTACACCCGAAAATTAAGGTTCGTCGCACCCGCCCACGCAACGACAGGGCCCTCAACTCCACTAGACGTACATCACCTGCATCCGCATGTGCTCGAGAACTGGCTTTATGCCGCCAGCACTGCAAAGCATCCAAGCTGAAAGACAGCAGGATGCACGTGCAGTTGCCTCTTGAATTGCAAGCTGAGAACATATTGTAAGGAGGCAAGCAGCAGTCGGATTTTGGGATAGTTGGTGGTCTCCATGTTGCTGCAAGACCAAAAGCTTTGCGAGCTGAGTTCTCACCGCTGCGGCTGTTCTGCGTACCCGTGATCTGCCCATCTGCGGGAGTGAACACAAGCCCGATAGTTTCCCTGGCTGGGGTCTCTACATTGAATCGCTGCGCCCTCCAGTTGCTTCGAAAAATCCAAGAAAGCAGACGTGCTTGAACTCTGTGCCCCACTGTCCATGTGCTCTCCATTCCGGTCATTAGCCCTGCATAGCTGCTCAGCTCTTCACCGATACTTCTACTGTCACTTCGTTGCTTCGTGGTGCGGCAATGCATGCGTAGTGATAAAGTGTACGTTACCTGCATTGCCACCACCAAACGATGCGGTGTGCATGCGTGGAGAGGAAACGCACATCCAAAGCAAACAATCGTGCACGCATGCAGCCGGGATGCAAAGAATGTGACGCACAAACATTCACAAACACACAAACACACAGTCAATCAACAAGAATCAATCCATCAATCAAGCAATCAATCAGTCCAACCAACCAACCGACCAACCGACCACCAACACACCAACCAACCCACCCACCCACCCAACCACCCACCAACCCACCAACCAATCCACCAACCAATCCACCAACCAATCCACCAACCCACCAACCAACCCACCAACCCACCAACCCACCAACCCACCGACCAACCGACCCACCGACCAACCGACCGACCGACCAACCGACCAATTGACCAATTGACCAACCAACCAACCAACCAACCAACCAACCAAACACACAAATACCAACACTCACAAACAAACAAGCATACAAGCAAGCAAGCAAACAAACAGACACGCAAGCCAACTAACCAACTAACCAACCAACCAACCAGCCAGCCAGCCAGCCAGCCAAGCCAGGCCAAGCCAAGCCAAGCGCGCCAGAATGGCACACAAGCACTACCCTAAAGTAGAGCGTGCACTGCTCGCTCAGCTTTAGAACAAAATAACCCTGAAAGTCGCGACGCATCTATTTCCAGGGACTGCGCCAAGTGCTCATGATCTTGAGCCACGGATGTGGCAAAGTCGGGGGCATGGAGGTAGCATGTTGTTTTCACGCGCCTCCTTGAGGATAAAGTACCGTGCTTTATTCCCACACAAAGTTTTACACGTTGGAGAAAGTAGAAGCTCACGATTAACGTTGGCTTCAAGGGGGTTTCGTGGTGCAAAGTCATGCTTTGCACTGGGCAAAAGTCTGCAACAAATGCCTCATATCTACAGCATTCAACAGTTGCTTCGGAGAACAGAAAAGTGAGTCGTTGTGCCAAAAGTTGCGTCGTCGTGTACCACGGTATATTAAGTACAGCGTGGATGGTCGGCCCATCACGTGCAGCGACCAGCTGTAGGAACCCCCCCCAATCAGGAGCTTGCAGAACAACGTCCTGAGCATGGGCTGGAATCGGCAGATGAAAATGTCGAGAAAATCCCACCATTAGGATTCTGAAACAACAACACTGACCGAACACCCCAAACTCTCCAAAGTGCCGAGCTCCACCCCCTTCAGAAAATGAGATTCTGAACCCCTCTCCAGGAGCAGCCTCAAAAGTCTCAACTCTCCGTCGGTCAAAGGTGGCTCTTGAGCGGCCATAGTCGAAAAGTGCTCCCAGGAAAGTTGCAGTCGCAACACAAAGTCAGAGGCCATGGCGCACCGAAGCGAGCGAACGACCGGAGTGAAAGTGATAAGTGTCGCGGCAAAGAGGCGCAAAGTTGAAAGCAAAACCCGCGACAAAACCCGAGCACCCTGAACGTGAAATCAAGTGAACTTTCTTGTGTACAGTAAGAAGGGATGCTCACGCATCGGGAGAAAACCACCGAAAAAATCGTTATTCTCAAACACCAAAAATTTCACGGTCAAAGTTTCATCCTTTTCGGCCATAAAGCCTAATACGGTTCCGGTTCAGGAAGTTCAGGAGAAAAGGAGAATTTCGACGAGCGAAAATCGAGAACACGTTGAACTGCGCAAGCAAAAGTGACATGACAAGACAAGTGTACATGAAAAGTGACATGTCCGCACAAGCATCACAAGTACATGTCGGCCAAGTACTTGATGCTCTCAAAGTTCTCTACTTACTGGTCTGAGTTCTTCTGGGAAAAGTGATGAGTTGCAACCCAAAGATGAGTGGCTACACCTCAAACCCGAAAGTAGGAAGATGGCGGCGCAAAGTATCCTTCGCGATGTACTTCGCAAGTATATCCGCCGGGTTCAAAGTGCCAAAAACTGTCATTTTTATGCGAGCCATGCCTGAAGCGACAAGTTCTTGACAACAAAGAAAGCGAAACTCAACGTGCTTCGTCTTGTGGCGTGCGCCAAAGCGTGAGGCAATGCTCTTGCCAACGTTGCTGTCCGTAAAATCACAAAAGTTAGCTTTTCGGACAAGCTTAGATTCCTAAACAAGGGATCTCGCGAAAAGTCCGTTTGCGGCCCCAGACCCAATCTCGTAAAGGTCAGCC